ATCTGGTCATTTACCAAGTGAAAGTCCAAAAGTTTCTTTCAGTACAAAATTATTTGTTGGTCTATTTATTCTACTACTTCTATTCATCATCGGTTCAATTATTGGACTATTATTAATTAGAAACTTTTTGTCCAAATCGAAAAAGTCATCTAGTCAGGTATAAATTATGTGTAAACAACAAAAACAACCATCATAAATCCATAAATTCCATTTTACAATCTATTGTGTAATACATCAACTAATCAGTATCTTTTCTTTGATCTTCTGTTTAATTCCACCTATTTTCTCTCTCTCTCTCTCTTGTGTATAATAGTAAAACAAAAAAGGAAATAAAATCATAATTACGGTTTAATGCCTTCATTGGATTTCGAAAATAACTAACTGACAACAACAAATAAATAGGCAATACTTTTTGTTGCCAAGTAATAATAATAATAATAATAGTAACAATCATATGCAGCATACTAAAGCCAAAAAAAACGCACAAGAATTCCAATAATCATTAGAAATGATTTTAAAGTTTTCACAGTTCTATTTTCTTTGCATTTTAACTGTTATACAGACAATTCTATGAACAAACTAACTGCAAAATAATACTTTTGCTATTTTTGTATACCTAACAACGTGTCTTTAAAACAATTAAATAAATAAATAAATCGTGGTAGTTAATTTTCCTCTCCCCCCCCAGTTGTTTTGTTAATTTAGGATATTTTTTATCGTTTTGTGTTGTTAAATTGTGTAATTTTCTTTTTCAATATCAATATTCGTACTGTTTATTCTTTCCCCAGACTTAAGTGGCCAATCATAACTATGTATTTTGGTGTGTGTGTGTGTGTGTGTTTTATTTTTTTATGTGTTTATCTAACCATATTATATATATATATATATACGTAAGTTGTGTATTCATCTTTTCTTCTGATTGGTTTGTTCATACATTTATTTCGCAGCTTTTTATTGGTTATCGTTGTATTCGCACTTAACGTTGTCAGAAATAAGTAAAGGAGTTAATCCATGTCGGGTAGAAACAGGTGTCTACCTCAGTACAATGGAAGATGGTCGCGCAATTTCGTGGATTAGTTGAGGTTAGACATTAACACCATTGGATGCCGGGTCAGTGGTCTAATTGGTTAAGCGTCTGACGTGAGACTGATAGGCCCTGGGTTCGAATTTCGCGGGGTGCGGGATCATGGATGCGCATTGCTGAGGAGTCCCATACTAGGACGAAACGGCTGTCCAGTGCTTTCAGGTTTTTCATGGTGGTCTAGCTTCAATTGACTCATGATTTCAATCAAAAACTTAACAATCTCCACAACACCTAAACTGATAAAGGAAAAATAATGAATTACTAAATGTAAATTTAATAATTTCAATAATTGTAATTATGAGTCCATTGAAGCTAGACCACCATGGAAAACCTGGAAGCACTGAACGGCCGTTTATTAATAATTCTTTGAACTCGATTATTTTCTAATTAATTCACACAAAATAGAATATAATAACAATGTTTAATAATCATTAATGATTTCATAAAATATTCTCTACCTAGTTTATCTAATGATAAAGATTAGTTGTAAATAGATAAATCAGGATTATTTGTTATATTCTTATCAAATTACTATAAACACTTAGTCAGTTATTAATAGTTCACTAAAATTTTAATGTAACTCATTTATCAAGTACCATTTGGTGAGTACAACTTTGAGTTACGTATTGTATGTATAAAGGAGGGTAATGTTATCCTAATTAGGTGTAATGATATTTGAATTTGTGAATTCTTAGTTATAAACTAAGTGATTCAATAACTAAGACATTATCATTTAAGATAGTTACGAGTTTATAATTAAAATTAACTCAATATCAATTAATAAAGAAGCTTGTTATTTGTCCGATGGAAGTAGGAGATGATTGATCAGTGCACAAAAATAGACATATCCAGTCGCATTAAATATGAGAGACCATCTTACAAGTAAAATTTATCACAGTTATATTTCATTTGATTGCACTTACTGATTCCTTTGTATTATATGTTAATAAACTCTCATTCTGGCGCATATTTAGCTTTTGACCATTGGTCCCTAAATCAGAACAGTGTTTAGATAGAAATCTACTAATATTCCAAAAACAAAACAGCAATTTAACTAAGGTTAGAAAGAAAAATGTCAGTATATTTATGATTTTTGCACAACATTCTAGAGTCTTCTCTACTTATGAATTAGTGCTGATTGACCAGAAATAGGTCAGTCAGTATGCTATAACGTAATTCTCTATGGAACATGCAACAATTTAACCCATATCCTACTGACAGTTGGTAACCGCAGAAGGAATACATCGTAGCACAATTTCTCTTGCTGATGACTTTTTCTGAAGTCATATCTGAACGTGGAGTAAGGCTGGTTTTTGTCTCATCTCTAGAGATATCAATGAGCCACATATTAACTGGTTAGAGCCTACAACTTCAGGTGGATGTTTAGACTGAAACCTACTATGAACTAGTCTTCGGTTTGAACTTGTACAATTTATCAAACAACTGGCATATTATAACTTAGAATATGAACAATCACTGTTGAACCTTGTCTTCATTCAACGTTATGAAGCTTCCGACATTGATTTCTTACCCCCACTGGCGAGCAGCGATCATACTTTAAATATTTGAATAGATAATATACAGTATATGTCTGTCTGCCACACCTCGTCCCAATATCTGGCGGACTAACATTCCGGTAATCAGAGATTTTGTTGTTTCAATAAATTAATCAGTTAATTGAAGGTGAGTTGATTGAGTTTAAAGCCGCAGCCAATCCGTTCATTCTATGGTCAGCTCCACATAAGCCATCGCGTTGACCTGCATGCATCGATAGAGATATCCGAAAATCATTGTGAAGTAGGAAGCACGATTGGAACTTGGTCTTAACAGCGGGTCATGAATCGTTCAAGTGAGAGTACTGAAAGATTAGGAATTTATGTGAAACGGGTATAGCTAGATCTAGCACTACTCACGAAAGTCGGCACATGAGCCAAAACGATTGCTGTAAAATATAGAGAAGAGAACGAAACAGTCAGTCAGCTACAATGTAGAACCAGGCACATATATGCATCGGTCCAAGTTGCCATACCTCATTAGCACAGCAAGATGGACACCAGATTCATAGAAGCAGTTAACTCAATGGTGTAATATATAAAGGAAAAATTGCATATAAGGATATAGTATAGAAAGAAAGATTTAGTACGTACATAGAAAGATATGAAATAATTTTAGTCTCATAGTTTAAGGGAAGACAGAGAGTGTATACACCGATACCATTGTGATCGATTCTGAGCCATGTTACCCACAGTCTCCAACCATTGGTTACGATAGTCACGCGGACTCCAACCAAATAGTCTACATCTACTAACATGGCTCAGACTAGAAGTTAGTGACTTCAAGCACTGATGCCATGTTTTGGTTTGGCCACCCCTAACTTTCTTCCAGTCGCCTCCAACACTAGTCCGCATTGCGCGTCGTGGTAATCGGTGTTCAGGCATACGTAACACATGGCCCAACCATCTCAGTCGATGAAGATTCACAACCTCATCAACTGATTTACCATCGTTCCCTAATACCATGCGTCGAACCTCACTATTACTTCTCCGGTGATCCCAACAGATGCGATATTCATAGATTTCAGCAAGCCATTTGATAAGGTGTCTTACTAAAGCTTTATGCAAAAGCTCTCCAGCCTTGAAATATCAGATAAAATACAAGAGTGAATAAGAAAGTCCCTCTGACCGAGAGTGAAGGTAAACAGTACACTATTTGGATAAAAACTAGTTAAAAGTAGTGTTTCCGAAGGCAGCATCTTAAACTGTCTATTTTTTCTTCTCTACATCAGTAAAATTACCATGACTGTTGTCGTCAACAATTACTTGCAGGTAATGTCAAAGTCTGGAGGAAAATAAGTAGAATTGATCACCTTGATCTCCCAGCTAATCCAGGCGAATTAGCTAGACGGTCACGAAATTGGAGTTTGGAAATTATTTCTAGGGAATATGCTAATGCACATTGGACACGGTAATAGTTACCAGTATGCCGTCAACGATACATAGCTTCCATGCATGTAAAACCTTACCTAAAGTATTGCATCCAAACAGTTAATCCATGTTTTACTTAGGATGTTATTACACTCGAGCATCATCAGTGTGCAGGAAATAAGTTAGCGATGGATCTTTCCAAACTCCCCTACAATGAGAGCTTAAACCTTTTCTCCTTATCTTATCGTGGGACGCGAGGTAACCTGATATTGACATTCCGTATCTTGAATAATGGTTTGTGTGTTAACATATCTTATCATTTAGCACCCCCCAGAACTAATAATATGAGTGGCCATCGCAATAAGGTTCAAAAACTACGATCAAATAAACTCAGAGTAGGATTACATTTTTCTTATAGAGTGGTCAATGACTGGAACACCCTACCCCAACAAGTGTTATCAGCCCCATCAGTGAACACATTCAAGAAAAAGCCGGATCACCACTAGAAAACAAGCTGGAAAGATTAGCACAGATTGATCGACCTGCTGAACAATCGATTTCTGTCTAAGTTAGGCTGATAAGAAGGTAATCAATTTGGGTAACTTACCATATGAAAAAATTAATATATTTGTTTCATACAGTTATACAAAGATAACCAAAAACAAACATTCGGAAATATTAGTTTAATTTATACATTGAAATTAAGACGAACAGTAGTTTTTATACATAAAAATAGAATCTGTAGTAATATACATCTGGTGTATGCTACTTGGGCTGACAGATATAAGTAGTATGTATCCCCAATCAGAAGTGGAATGCCTGGTAGCAGGAGATTGAATTGAAGAGTATAGAAAAAAAGTCGAAGAGGAATCGAGATAACAGAATTAAGGAAATAATGTAATAGGTAAAGGACAACGCAAAGAAGATGTACAAGTAACTCAATTTAATTATGCATAAACAATTCCATAGAAAATTAGACAATTATTAGAAAACTAATAACTAGATGGCAAAAACCAATGTCCCATAGGTATCCTATGTAAAAATATAGTTCCACAACTTAAAAAGAAAAAAGAAAATGCTAGAAAGAAAAGCACTCTTTCTGTAAAACGACGCCGACGAGCTAAAGATGTTAAATGTTTCGACTGATTCATATGTCCAGCCATTTCTTTCAGTTCAGAATAATTCGAGATTAATTTATTTGATGAATTTTCAAGTAATTCAGCATTAACAGCTCCACGTTGAACTTCTTCCGCTAGAAGTCTAGCATACCTCGTCATATCTTGAGTAAGTTCCAATGAATTTTGATATTGTTCTTCTAAATTGGAAATCTTGTTACCGATTTCAGTTCTTGACGAACGATTAGTAAGTTCAGCCTTTTCAACAGTTTCTAAAGTTGAATTGGCTGCAAAGATAGCTTTACGATATCGATCCTGACAAATATTCAAAGTATAAAATTAAACAAGACTATAAATATTATAACTAGAAGACATATTTATATAAACAATAAATTACATCCAACGTAAATCTGAGTTACAATTAAACATAATTCATTAATTCATAGGAAATTCAACCCAAATACGATAAAAAGTGACCATTTTTTAAAATGAAAAGAATCTATAAGGATCAAGCAATGCGTATCATTGAGAAGGGATTAAATTTAGAAAATCAAAACACAAAGTTGTATGTTTATTGTAAGATAAAAGAATAGAGAGATATGCTATTCTGTTTTACACAAAAAACAGGCATTGAAACAAAAGATGTTAAGTCTTATGATCATTAACTGAGACATTATCACAATATCGACGTGGGTGTCGATGACAATTTTTGGTTAAGTGAATAAAACTTCCCTTTGAAAAAGTCTCCTGGACAATTTCTTAAGCAATTCGTGCATTTTAAAAGCTTTGTTACCGAATTCTGTCTCAAATTAGTAACAAAACGACTACCTTTTTGTGTTATAATGAACAGAAAATTGACTAATATATAAAGTACTGGAACCACTGAATGATTAGCAACCTGCATATATTTTTACTTATCTAGCAAATTTGTACACGGATATTAATTTATCAAATAAAATGGAATCATTTTCTGACAAATTGTGCTGTATTTTGATATAAATCTAACTGAGGTTTCAATTCCGATTTTGTCTTCGTATACGATTGTATTTCAGTAACGATTCAAACCGAACCATCTAAAGAACAGCCACAAATGAAATGCATTTTGTTTTGACTGTTAGTCAAGTGTAAAATATAGATAGAAAGAGCTTGTCAACAGAAATGCTCCAATACCTAGAACGACCCGATAGTGTACCCCAACAGTAATTTACGGCACATGTTGTAACTACGACTGGCCATAAATTCTTTTGACAACCAACCTAACTGAAATTATCCCAGTAAGAAAACCACGACAACTAAGACTTAGTAATAACGAAAAGTAGTTTGGGTTAGCTGTCCGACGAATTTCGTTTCCGGAACGGTATTAATCATATCCGATTGTCACTGCTTCAGCCTTAATCGAACGGTCGAGTCGAGCGTTTTGTTGGTACATTCAAAGACTCTCTGAAGACATCTAACGGGCGAGGACCATTGAGATCCTAGGTGGGTTCCTGTTCATCTACTACACTACACCGAACCTTCAATCACCCAATGACATCTTTCTGATAGAAGCTTTACTTGGTAAATAATTGTGTACATTTTTCGATTTTATTGGTCCGCTGCCATCGTATGAACTTCAACAAAACATCTATAGAGAAGCAATTCAAACAACATTATGAAGCATAAAAATGATTGTTTACTGTCAGAAAGTATTTGCTATGAATTACCGTGACAAATGCCTTACATGAATAGCCAATCGAATCCTGAAAAAAATAGGTTACGTTATCTATGACGTGTTAGTTGGTCTACCAAATTGAGTATTACACGTTAAAATTTGAAAGCAACTTCACTAGCGAGAAGCATCGTAGAATACTAGTTGATATTTTGTTTGACATCTTCGACATATAACTATCAGTATTATTTGAGCTCAATCTAGGGCACAAAAACAATACAATGTCTTTAATGACAAGAATTTGGACAGCTATGAAGAGCAGACAGGTCAGTCTGATGCAGTTGGATTGCAACAACATATCTGATACGATACTCAAAGATTAGACTTTACGGTCAGGTCTTTATTGGAACAACACATATAAGCGAACAATTGTTTTCAATTAGATCGTCATCAGGCTTTACTCTAATATACATGAATATTTATACGAGAATGAGTGACTAACAAGTTAATTTCTTCCAATCACTTAAATTTTATCAAGCTTATTTTGTGTTCATAATTTCTACATAAGCAGGTCATTTTCTTACACGAGAAAGCCTATTTATCTGGTTATTAGTAACTTTGTCATTTTTTTCTAATAATTTGGCGGCTTAAACCGAAACAGACGGTTTTGTGAGTAGCCATCGCTAGGTCCTACTATATCATTGCGTTCATGTACCAATTGGCATTTTATACATTGATTTCGACAATCAAAAATTTAATCCAATTAAACTATGACGGAAAACCTCCCCCCACAACAATATCCAACTAATCTGCTAAAAGATAGAGATGTTAAAAAGATATTGTCCTGACTATCGCATGCTCTGACCAAAATCAAATCGCGATACGCTAACTAGTTCACATTTAATCGACCAGCATTAGTGGACGGATCGAGAAGCTAGATTTTTATGTAAATTCTAAGAAAGTCCGAGTGTTTCTACTATAGCATTTTGTGGTTTGATTTATTGGGATATATATTGTTTGATCTCCATTCCTATTCTGATTTGGAAAAAGTCGACTGAAACCTGATGTCCAGTGAATACAAGGCAGTAAATGAAAATAATAATACTAGATAATGTAACAGGAAGATGAAAATTATCAGAACTATGTGATATATTAGCGCAATACATTTCGAACAATCAACTAGACTGGAAATGGGGTAAGAGGAGATAAGTATAATAATAAGAGTAATAATAATAAGAAGAAGAATAGTAATGATAATAATAATAATAATGTGAACACAATTCGAAACCTGATCACTCTGGATAATAAGTCAATATTATTAAGGTAGGTTTAAGGTAAGAACAAACTGTTTTTGAATACACAAAGCGGGGTTTGAATTTTCGTATGGCTAAGGCTTCAATAAGCCTTAGTATACGCCCTTTTACACTTTTATACAACACCACAAAAGCCGAGTTTAGATCAATCTTACGGCCTGTTTCAATTATATGTTTAAATGAGAACTATTTGTCAATTGAAGAAATGCAAGGACCTTATGACGATGAAAGGGCTCAATGGGTTCTAACGTTACACCGTCAAGCTTGCGTTAGTGAAATGTGAGATCAATTTTCTCGAAAGCTGTATCGAAAATAATGATTATCCTAAACGTTTCTGGAAGCCACTAAGGCGAAACCATATTCATCCCAATGCAAAAACACTCAAACGTCATGCACTCAATTATATCGATGCTATCAAATCTCGAAAAGTCGAACTAGATCGCAACATATCTCTAAGAAGTCACACCTTGTTTGAATTGTCGTTAGATGAACGTAAACAATTTGAGGACTATGTTACTAATGTTACGGAAAAACAGTCACAAAAAGCTAAACGTAAACACTTGGAAACATTGCAACACGTAGACGTGATTAAGAAGTTTCCAGAACATCCAGAAAAGTATGTATTTAATCATTCTTCTAATAAACTTTCACCAGTCCAAATACAGGCTTTATCATTCTGTAACAGCACCTCCAAAACTAGTAGACTTCATACACAAATACAATTCGAAAACCTATCAAATCAAACTCATGATCTTGTGCCAACATCCCCAAAAAAATTTCAGCACTTTAAATCCACATTAGTGGACTGCAGTCATGGATACGTTAATGCACAATGTAGTAAGAATAACGTATTAACTAAGAACCACTTGGATCAGCTAATACTCCTGAAAAGAAATAAGGATTTGATCCTAAGTAAACCTGACAAAGGAGCTGGTGTAGTACTACTTGACCGCCAAGAATATTTGGATAAAATGAAATTAATTCTCGAGGATGGTACTAAATTCTCCAAACTTAAAGAAGTTGATAAAACTTTGCAAATCGAAGAACAGCTAACAGATGTTGTTAAAATTCTTAAGAATAAGGGGATAATAACCCAAGATTTATATAATCACATACGTCCCATGGGTTCAATCATCCCGCGCTTATATGGACTACCGAAAGTACATAAGCCGGGTTTACCGTTACGACCTATTTTGGATATGTCCGATTCACCATACCACAGAATCGCCAAATTGCTAGCGGAAATATTGGAACCGGTTAGAAGGCAAGTATCTAAATTTTCTATTCATGATACTTTTCAATTTATTGATCGTATTAAGGACGTTAATACTTCCGGAAAACACATGTTATCGCTTGACGTTAACTCTTTGTTCACTAGCGTACCTTTAACCGAAACGATATGTTATATATGTGAGTACATTGATTCCAACAACATAGATCTAAGTTTGCCGACTGAACACTTGAAAGAACTATTGTTACGCTGTACTTTTAATGTCCAGTTTAGTTTCAATAATGAAATATATAGATAGAGGGATGGGATCGCAATGGGGTCTCCATTGGGTCCGATTTTAGCAGATTGTTTCATGGCAAAACTAGAAAACGACTAACTAAGCTCAATGATCAGTCAATTTCACCTATACGTCAGATATATGGACGACACGTTTATCGTTTGTGACAATAATATTGATTTAGAGGATATTTTACACACCTTTAACTCATGCCACCCTTCTATAGACTTCACGTTAGAAAGGGGACGGGACCAATCAATTCATTTTCTCGATGTACGTCTGATGAGGAGTAATGGTTCTTTAGAAAGATCCATCTTTAGAAAACAAACATGGAATGGACAGCTAACCAACTTCTATAGCTGGGTTCCGTTAAGTAGAAAGAGAAAACTCATCCACTCTTTATGTTATCGAATACATCAGATATGCAGTAAGGAATACATTAACGAAGAACTTGAATTCCTCAAGAAAACCCTGACGGAAAATGGTTACCCAGAACGGTTCATAGAAAAGAATATGAATAAAAGTAGTTGTGACAAGAAACCTAGTTGTTCCGTTACGAATAAAAACCTTTATATAAGTCTGGAATTTAAAGGTGATCAAACATTAGACGTAATCAGAATTCGTCTAACAACAACTATTAGAAGAACATTTAATGCAGCTAAATTGCGAATAACCTTCACGAGTAGGAACTTATTTTCTGTGTCCATAAAAGACAAGCTTCCGCGTCTGGTCGCCTCTATGTGCATCTACCAGTTCACCTGCTCTTGTGGACTAAGGTACATTGGCCGTAGCCAGCGCTCGCTTTCAACTAGGATACGGGAACATATTCCAGCTTGGTTCTATAAG